AAAGTTCAATCGATTCATTATCTATGCCTGTGACTAAACGTGACGAAACAAACTAGTTTAATAATGTTAATACTACTGAATTAAAAGAATGTAACAAAAGAATTCTATTACTATTAACACTACTTATAATCGTAGTAGTAGTAATAGTTACTGTTGTAGAGTATTAGAAGTAATGCTTTATTTATAAAATGATAGCAGTTAACATAAACTAAACTCAAAATGAATTGATAAACCAAGTCACACACACACACAATTTGTATAATTTCAGCTTTACACTCTCTATTCGTCTTTCAATGAACACAAAAAAGAAAACTAGTTGATTTTATTTGTTTATCTATTTATTTATGTTTTAAACTTATTTTTTTTGTTTTAGTGTGTGCATGTATTATATAATGATAACGGTGAGGAATAATTTTATTGATTTCAACTTTTACATAATCTTGATTCTTTAATGCCTTCGGTTCTTTCCCTCCAACCCCCCCCCCAACAACAGTCATTTTCAGACTTTTTTTGTACCCCATTTGTTTTCCTTATTTCAGAAGTTTTTACGCTAATTATTGCATAATTTTTTCTTAAAGTTAATAATTCTCTTAGCGCCATTTTATACTTATTTATTGACTTTTACACCCCTTCCAGCTAAGATTATTGTTACTATCGTTATTATTTACTATTTCTAATTTTACATAAATAAAATGGTTATCTATTCTATTGTTACACATTGAGTTTCTCACTCATTCTTATTTTATTTATTTTCTGTTGTTGTTAGGCTGTTTTTTATTATTTTGAGAGTGGGAATGTTTCTCTTTTTAATTTATTGTTCTATATTTATCTATTGTCAAACGATTTACCATATCTTTCTTTATTTGAAGTTCACGATCTTATAAATCTAATTCTTATTTCTTGGACACAGATATCTGTGTTCGATGATACAGTTGATATGATGTCGTAAAAAATATTGTCGAATTAATTTATTGGAGATTACAAGTTTTTATAACCGTTTTTTTTTTACCTTAACCGCCATTGTACCGAACAATTGCTTTTTCTTCACATTCTTTTACATCTATTAAGTTTACTTATATGGGTTTTTTGTTTTCTAAATAAATTGATGTAGTTGTAAGATAGAAATAGCGCTATGTTCATTATTTTCTATTGATATTAATGGTAATTATATTTATACAAAAAAGAAGAGTTAACTATCAATGTTTCATTGTTATTCTTTAGTTTGCTTTTTCTTTCTCATTGTATCCATGCTACTATACATAAATTGGAATACAGCATTGTTTATATCATTCAAGTATAGTAACATTATTTTTTCTTTATTGGAGAACTATAAATATTCAATATCTATCGTTACTAAATTACGTAATCTGTTCATTTTAATGTTTATTATGTAGATAGATAGATTTGTCTTTTTTTTGGGGGGGGAGGTTATTCTTGGTTTCATATTGTCAATTTCATCATGTAATTTCCGGTGTATTTTTCCTTCTTTAATACTAAGGTTCGTTCGAAAAACTTTGTCACCTTTTCTCATTTTTTTAGAATTAATTGTGATTTAATCTTTATATATACCTTTATTTGTATAGTGAATTGTTCATAGAAGAGCATTTTTTTTATTGATCCTTGAGTATCATGTAATTGTGCGGGTGTATTTATGTTCACTTTTTAGTATATTTACTGCTGTCCAGTTGCTCGTTGTTTTTTAAGATCCATAAATTTCATCAGTAGTCACCTATCAGTGATATTTTCATGTACTTGTCCTTAATTGTGTACTGGCATTGTGTCATACAAATGGGACATTTATGTTCAACGTTATTTTTTTTCTTACAGCTGTGGTAGGCATAATCATGTAGCTTGGAGAATAAAATGATTGTATTTTTCTACTGAATACACGTTTACTACTGTTTATTTAGAAAGTAGTATACCTTGTTTAGCGAAAGCATTCTCTTCTTTTGTTTGTCTATCTATTCATGTTATCGTAATTAAGAAAAGAATATTCTTATAATCAACGAAAAAAACCATATGCAAATCACATCTCACACACAAACTCTTGATGGAAAATAATGTTGACTATACTTCCTGTCCCGGTTCTTTGTTCTCTTGAATTATTATTATTATGTATCATTCTTTTCATCAATATTTTGGGTATTCCATAATCCTTTATGAATTTCTGCTTTCTTTGCTTATTTCAATGTAAAAAAGAAATGACTACATACATACTTACTTACGCCTGTTACCCTTCATGGAGGAGCATGGGCCGCCCACCAGCATTCTCCACTCAACTCTGTCCTGGGCAATCCTTTCCAGATGTTATTCATCCTTTTCATATCTGCTTTTATTTCCCGACGTAACGAATGTCTACATACTTTAATTTTTATTTCAGTCATGAACTTTATGAAATATTCTTAACATTTCTCCTTGTATTTCTCTTAAACTCTTCTAATTGTGTTACATACAATACAATGAATATCTTACCTTTATCATCATTATTCTGTTCAATATTTTTTACTGATCATCTTTTTTCCGGAAAAAGGAATATTTTTTCTTCCAGTTGTTTTGATTCATACCCCCTCACCAAAAAAATGTGTGTTTTCTCTTCTTTATTTCAAGTTTATCAATTAGAGTTTCTAAATTTATTTGGGTATCATTTGCCTTGCTTGTATAAAGTTGTATTCATGATGATCTATTGTTGTAGTTGTTGTTGTCTTATATAAAATTTAGATGATGTTTTTAGTTTAAATAAACGTCTGTAAATCCTCCGTGGTCTACTGCCGGTCCCAAGCCCGGATAAAAGAGGAGGGTTGGGCATAGGGTTAGCGACCCCATCCCTTATAAAACCAACTCGCTAAAACACGCTAACCAGAAAAAAAAGAATATTATTGATTGTTAATTATATGTATTCAATAATTGTCAGTGATATACAGTATCAGAGATGTTATATTATTTCTTCCATATATTGTACTTTATTATCAGATTCATATCCAAAAAGATGATTGGAAAAAATAGATTGATCAATAGAAAAAATAAAGTGTATATGTACTTCGCAACTATGTATTGTCTATCCTGGAGACATAGTTTATAAAAGAAATAGATTGTTCTAATGTACACTTATTTTTTTGGTTTTGTTAGGTAAACTTTGGTTCAATAAATTACATTATGATGTTTAAGAATATAGTGAAATTTGATGAGTCAAAATTTAACTATATAAATTAAATGTAAATCCATTTACTAAGTGATGTGTAGGGGAGAATGATAATGATTGGTTGTTTTGCTGAGTCAGACATGTAGTTAGTGTGACAAGTGTTATATATTCCCCTATCTTGTTCCTTGTTGTTGGATTGTGTCGGATTTTGATGTGGAAATATATTGACGTTCTAGTCAGGCTAATCTCGTGTTTTTTATCTGAGTTGTGTTAAAGTCCTGTAAAATAGACACTGGGAGGGAATCTAGTGTAGATATTTGTCTAAGGTAAATTAACGTCCCATATACGTGTAAAATGTGAAAGCACTGTTATAACAAGAAACCCTAGCGTTATAACAAGTATCCTACCTTTATAACACTAAGATTTAAAGTTCATATCAACTTGTTGAAGTAATAATCATTATGTAATAATAAATTCAAGTTTCTTTTCTAAGTTTTTAGTTTGCCTATGAAACGGCAAGTCATATGAATACTTTTTTTTTCAAATTATGGGGATATGAGAAATAATCAAAGACAGGAGAATATTGTTCAAATGTAAAATAAAATAATGATAATAACCTAAATTCATATATAATGGTTGTATGAATCTTCTTTGTTGATGTTTAGGACTGCGATAGAGCAGTCACTTTTGGCATATTTGCACCGTGTGTGGATTGCCTTAGTATTGCCAATGAGTTACAAGCATTTTGAAGAGAGACGGATGATAGCTAGCAGTGGAATTAAGGATGCGCGTTTTGTCCTATTTAGAACTGGTTAAATGGATATACCTGCATCAAAGAGTTGATGTTGGAGTATGAAACAAAAGGTACTGGGTTCGAGTTCCGAAGTGAATATAAACTCTTAGATGCAGGTACATCCAGCTAGTGAGTTCCAGATATGATTAAACGTGCATCCTTAGTTACACTGCTAGCCATCCATCGCTGCCTAATATTGATAATAATTTAAGGCTATGGGAAAGATAAGATGTACTTCTTTTGTACACACAGCTCAGGTTTCATCTCATGGGTGGCCAGATATACTAACGGAATATCCAGTTAACAATAAAAACCCAAAAGGAACTTGGAACACAACTACGCAACCACCTGAGATCCAAGCAGATATAGAAAAGGACAACATCTCTTAGAATGTACAAAGATTAATGATTCTACAAATCTGTCCAATGCTTTAAAATGTGAATACTCATACAGTATGAAAAGTATATATTTTCCTAACTGTAAATTACAGTTGGCTTCAATATATTTCTTGACGATCCTGTGTGATATGATATTTTATTCATTCCAAGCTGATCGTAGAGATATCATTCTGGCTTTGATACATGAAGTTGGTAAATTTGATCATATGCACAGTGTTGTAGTTGAGTATCACTTAGGAGTCTTAAATCAGAACAAATAATCTTCAATGTTTACTGGCTTTTTATTGTACATTGATAGTTCAATATGAACTAAGTACGAATAAGTCTCAATGTTTATAGGTTGAAAGTGTAACATTTTTTGTTCTAAATCTTATCTATGCTTTATTACACTACAATTGATTGATCACTGGTTGGTGATCAATATCATGCGTGACAAGTCTTTCTTAGTGCTGATCAAATGCTATCGATCAAGTTGCGATGTGGCCACTAGTCTACGTGGCTCGATATTATGTGCACTATGTTGAGATAAGATGGTGGTTGGAGATGGTCAACAGGAAACCCTGGACCCGGGTTTCGTGCTACTTGACACTTGTCAGCAAGGTGTACCTTTTATATTGAGGGACCTGGTGCTCCCTGATTAACCGATTTGATCAGCACTAATAAGGACTTGACACGCATGACATTGATCATCACCTAGTTATCAATCAATTGTGATTACATATCAGTCCTACAGGAGGTCAGTCGCTGCCGGAATAGCTCAGTGGTCAGGGAGCACTAGTTCCTTAGGACTACCTTGCTAACAAGTGCCAAGTAGCACGAATCCTAGATCCAGGGTCTTCTGTTGACCACCTCCAACCGCCATTTTATTACACCAGCTAACAAATGAATCACGAAGTTTGTTAAGGATACGTAACTTTACTAAACTGAATATTCAGTACATCGAATGACAAAAAAACAACAATCCGTTTTATTTATTCAACATTCATTCTCTACAAACTTGTATACATTTATATTTACACATTAAAAAATTAAGAATTATACAAGAGTAATCATATATCTTCAAGAATTGATATGATATACGAAATAATACCTGTACTAAAAGAATTCACAGAACATAGAATCTCTTGAATTTCTTTCATTGTTAATGATTCCAATGATATTGAAGATAATAATGTTTGATTACAATATACAGTATATAATTTATATAATATAGGACAATTATTTTTAATATAGTCTTTTAATAATTTAATATGATCATTCATATTTATCATTGTTAAGAATTTAAACAATAATATCAATGTTTCAATATAACATATTGGTAAATTTTGTTTTAAATACTTCCAATAAATTAATTGAGGTTTTAAATGATCATTTAATAATGTTAATATTTTGATCCAATATAAATAATCTCTATGGTTACCATGTAAACCATTATTATTATTATTATTATTATACATAATGTTTATATTAGTATATAATAAAAACATTACTTCTTTGGCACCTAATTCTAAACTGAATAATTTCAATAATAAAAAATCAATAAAATTATTTAATAATTGATTAGATTGTTCTTCAAATATTGATATATTGAAATATTGTATAAAATGAGTTAAAGACCAACATAATTCAATACTACATATAGACCATGAACATCTATATTGATAATACCAATGGATAAGTATTAAAAAATTATGTAATAACCCTTGAGATATTGTTAAAGTATTAATGAAATAAGGTTGCTGTGTCATCTCAATGTGCTCCTGCTGATGATGATGATGATGAGGAGGAGGATGCTGTTGATGATGATGATGATCATAATGATGATAATAACATATACAACCAATAATACGTATTATATAGAATATACATTGTGATATAATTAATGGATCATTTAAATTAGAACAATAAAATAAACATTTAGCTAAATATAATAAACATTGAATAAGATTATAATTTGTTTTAATAAAATAAACCTTTAAATATGGAATTTGAATTAAATTCAATAATGATTTTAATAATTCACAAGTAAATAGTAAAAGATCATAAGAAGAAGAAGAAGGAGAATGATTCGGTGTACAGTTTTTGATTTTTAAAAAATTATCATCAATTGGATCATCTTTATTGAGAAAATCAAAAAGGCTGTGATTTCTGCAAAAGAAAGAAAAAAAATTAGATCAAATAAATAATAATAAGTAAAGTGAGTATAGGATTCGAAAAATAAAGTTGTTGGATATATTCAGGTAGAAGTGCTGATGATGTCGTTCGGAAGAACGATCAAAGCTCTACGACCATATCATTCAGCTCAGAGAGGAAAACTCTATCAAGATCATCTATCTGAGTGACATATCTTTTCCACTATACTCATTTTTAGCTAAATTATAATACAGAGTGATATGTAATATTCTATTCATTAAGTTTTAGTTATCAACTTAAATATTTAGAGTATTCGACACATTTATCATTTTATTCGAGGACTCTTCATTGATCTAAATCTAACGTATTGTATTCGCAATGAAGTATTTGATTTGATACTATGAGGTGTCACGAATACAAACTGTTGAGCAGTTCTTAAATCAGACGAATGAGTTATTCTACATACCTTGTTTCCAGTCTGTTTATATCAAAAGATATATAAAATTGGACCTTCCCATATTTTTACCATACAGTTGTAATATATTACTAAATGAAGAAGTTCATATGGGACTTTTTATAGTACGTTTTGTAAGTTGAGTACTGAAATTAAATTGAGTGAAGCAACATTAGAAATCGATATACAATGAATAAAAGAACTACTTAATTAAAACGGTTTAAATAATATTAATTCTCAATTGCATCTGAAAACTACAGACATACTGATTTAGAAAACTACGTTTGGATTCAGTAAATCGATGATATAATGATATAATACCGTTTAACTTGTCTAACTGATATCTATTTGTTTCTCACTTGAACACTCAATTGTATATGTAATATTGCTTCCCAAAACAATCACATAACTTACAACTATATCAATGAGCGATGTATTTTTATTTAATCATTTTACATCCTTTATAATTCATGCTAGTATAAAGTGAATGTTTTATTTATTTATAAGGACACAAATATTCGTACAAACGGGTACGAGATACATATGCGCCACACAAATCTTATTTGATTTGTGTGAGGACTGTGATACTACCAAGATGTTCAGACCGGAGACTTCGACCTAAAGATCTGATCCACAAAGCAGTGAAGCATCGTGAGGAGATGCAGTCCCATGGTAACCGGTGACCAACGATTATTTCGTACGCCATTTGTTCCCTTATGATACTGGAGCCAGCCCATGTGCACCATTGGTTTGGAATCAGGGTTTTCCAACTCCCCTAGGTGAACTATCCGTGTCCACCAACAGCGTTAAAGCACCGGACATTCACTTTTTTTCGTAAACAACACCCCCGCTACTAGAAAACAGTGAGTAGGACTTCCCTGGCAGAGGCCATTTACGCGTGGCCGTGTGAGAGCTTTTCGAGAGAGAGGGTGGGCTCTCCTCACTCTCAGCTGTATCAGGGCATTTGGGGATTGAAACACAGATAACTACTTCTCTTTAATAGTTTATTGATGTTATTTTCTTCTTCCAGTCATCTATTTATTAATAATATACTCATAATAACCTATCAATCATAGAACACTTCGTATCCGATCTATTATACAATCAATAATCTGAAGAACATTGAAGTATATTTTAAATTAAAACAACGATTTCATTTATTTACTTACATTTACTGTGTACGTATTGAGTGAATAAGTGAAAAACAATCTATGTGAACTTGATATTATTACTAAGATCCTGTACATTCATACATACAATTAACCAAGTTATCATAAAACTTATACTTGTATAAACTAGTGAATCTTTATTGATTACTAGACAAATAAAAACTTTATTAAAATAAAATAAACCATTTTACATTGATGATGTGATCTAAAATGTACAACATTTGGTTATGAACGTATTTTCAGAAGGGAGTTTTATGGAGATTTTAGTAATTTTATATAGCTGAGATCATGAGTCAATTAAAATCAGACTACCATGACAAACCTGGAAACACTGGACGACCGTTTCGTCCTACTATGGGACTCCTGGGTTCGAATCTCGCGAAGTGTGATCGTGGATGAGCACTGCTGAGGAATCCCACAGTAGGATAAAACGGCCGTCCAGTGCTTCCAGGTTTTTCATGGTGGTCCAGCTTCAATTGACTAGTGATTTCAGCTATATAATGAACGAATTTGCTAAATATTTCAAAATAACCTGAATACATGATGTATTGTATAAAGTATACAACAAGTTATAAGACTATGCAATACTAAAAGACAAATCAAATTGAAATTAGTCCCTTCTAGAAACTTTGCGTGAAAATCAAAACTCAGTAACTGATAGTATATATCCATTCAAAAAGTTACGTTGCTGATAAATGTGACAAACATAACTGTTGTTCAATTACACAATTGATGTGGTGTGTAAGATTAATTACAAGTAACACCCGCTGTTTATAAAAACTCAACACTCATAGTTAGTCAATCATGTAAGAAATCTCTTTAGAATATATATCCTCTTTCAACCTAAAAAATCAATTAAGATGTTAACCTAAATGATGTTTATATAGCTGTAACGATCACACAAGTTAGATCAAAATTAATAAACACAGTCCTTATATTACAGAACAATTAAATGATCTATGAGACACCAAGTGATAACAAGGAGAAAAATTGTTTTGGACTAATTCTTGAATAATTGATTCTAAATAATGATCTATCATTCTTTTTATATATATAATAAATCTTGTGATTGAACGCTTGAATCGGTTTTCTAGGCTTTTCTAATAACCCCAGGTTAACTCTACACGACAACTTGAGCACAAGAGAAAAGGCGCAAAGATAAGAACTTTTTACTCCAAGCTTGGTTTAGATAAAATAAATTGAGGGTATTTATGCCATTTCAGATAACCCTGAGCTTTTGGAAGGTTTTCAAAACCTACTAAACATAGTAGCAGGATAGATAATCATCCAGACAGAAATATTACAAGTGACTCTTCACTATCTAGACGTTCCCAAAAAAAAATTCTATTTAGTGCTCATTAGATAAAAAGTTTCCCAAAGTTTTGAAGGTCCCTCTGTGCTTTTTTAAAAGAATATTCTAGGTCACCCCAATATATAGCTAGATATATATACTGAAAGAAATTCGCACTTCAGCACACAGATTTCAACATATTATTAGCCTCCTCTAGTGGATACATTTTCATCAGCATATTGACGTAAGCACATGATAATCAAATACTATCCGTTCTAATTATTTATTTACTAACAGATATGAATCAAGATGGGTGTTCAATAGCATTGATGATAACATGAAGAAATAAAATCGTTTACAATAAATGAATAAAATTTTTTATTAGTCAACAAAGTGACCTTAACTTGATGTTAGTCTATGACAAAAAGAAAGAAAAAGTAAGATAACAGAGATAGTCCAGAAAAATAGTAAAATGATAAGAGTAAAGAGCAATTAAGTAGTATTGATCAAAGAGTTGGTCAAAAATATGAGAGATAATTTTCCACATCTTTAAATTTACTTGTTTTCGTGATGAAGGTTACATTGACCGCATAAAGCGAATACTTTTCAGACACATCTCAAAACATTACCCGGCGTAATTTCTAAAGGGGAGAATGAGAGGCCATCACTAGTTCAATATAATAGCATCTGATTAACTCTGGGAACATTACTCCAGAGTTGTCCTTTAAAATAGTCTTTACAGTCAAAGGAATTGAAACAAATGAAAAACTTATCCACTGCTAAAACGTTGACGATCCATCAATACAAGCTAGAACTCCAATCTCACATACATCCTTTGCCCTGACTCCCCTCCCCAGTATGTTTTGATATTGTTATTATTTTTAATATTAAATACTTTTTTAGAGACGTAATGAGTTATTACTATCCTCTGACAATCTTCACGACGTTGATGTTTCTTCATATCTGTTAAGTGGGCAATTATCTCTCATATTCTTGGCTTGTAAACTATTTTTTATAAAGTATTGTCGAATTAGTCAATGAAATGAGACTCTTCCTTATTAAAACTTACGTTAAACTATTTGAGCATGCAGGACACAACCAAACTTTTCCGATAGCCAAACATAAATTCATGAATCCATATTGTATTATAGCAAGAAATTTATCCATTTCTTGTATTCTAATTTTATCATCCGATGATGATGTTGTTGAGGATAACATCACCTGTACTGATGGTAATCTCATTAGAATTAGTGTTATAAGTTTCAAATGTGATGATAAAATTTCCAAATTGAGAGAGTCATCAGTATCGGTCATGTGTTTGCTCAACTGTTTCAATAATTCATACGTGCCGAAATTAGATGATTCCATGAGGAAGACTTTAGGTAGTAATCTATGAAGAACCTAATAAACAATATGGGATGAAAGATATTCAAATCAAGAATAGCGAATTATTAGTATCTTTTGATGTTAATTCTTTATATGCTTTCAATGAAATAAAGTCAGGAAAGAACACAATATACCTACTGCTACCCAATAATACCGTCAAATGCGCTAACATCAATTGTTCTCTCCCACTCTGTTTTTAATACACGTCATTATATTACTTACTAATAATCAGTAACTAATGTATTATCAATCATTTTTAAGAATACAGTTCACAATGTCCCTTTGTTGTTTAAATACTTACATGAACCTGTAATAGTCAATTTATTTGTTATGGTAAATGTGTCTTTTCTCACATTTAAACAGTAACTTTCTTTTTTTGTGTGTTTATTGGTAATAATTTTAATATTTTGTGGGCATAATACTCGTTCCGATTATCTATCGACATTGTGTTATTGACACCACAACTACATGTCACCCAGTTTATCGTGTGTTTCTATAGAGAAATCGTATATGTAACTATTGTAGGAAGTATTTCATTTCTGATTATAAATTGATGCAGTAAACATCTTAGATACTTCACGAATTGAGGCTTATAAATTCATTGTTTATATTGATATTAATAATAGTGCCGTGTTTGAAACAAATTTCGTATTTCCATTCCAGGACTTTCACATATTACAACACTATCGTTTGGTCAAAGAATTAAAGTAATTTGAAACATACGCATGCTTTGAAACATACAAGGCTACAAAAACAAAGTTTGTTAGAACTCGTAGACTTTCGTTAACAACTTATTTTTAATTCAACAATACAATATAAAGACGAAGGAAGCACAAAAAAGTTCATCAGTCACCATGAAGAGGAATGTGGCGACTGGAAGCTTTAGTCTTATCAGTGATCAAAACAAAAATGTGTATTTGTAGCGTAAACGAAATATTCATCATCATAGAAAAGAAAGACCTGGGAAGAATCGAATATTTAACAAAGAATTTGTTTGAGGAGATAAATTTATATTGAAAAACATTTTAAACAAGAAATTATCATTATTGGATATGTTTATCATCAAAACCGAAACAGAAAAAACAAAACTAGGATGCGATGGGAGCCGAACCACAACGATCGGATTCCTAACTGATAATAACAATAAACCAATAACTTGCAAAATCACCTGCTTCTAAACGTTTCCAAAAAAAATGTGAAGACACATTGAAATCCACCTATCATATGGAGAAATGAGGAAAGACATTAAGTGAACTTTCGGAAAGAGCAGCTATCTACGGGCTACCATCAAAACTGCCTGTTAAAATGATCAACAAGCAAAAATCAAATGTGGAAACCAACAAACGAACTACTGTATGAAGGACACATCATCGAATGACGACATTATGAAATGATATCACTCATACGCCAGTAAAATCTCTTCAAGCAATTCTTAGGAAAATAAAGGTCGAAATGATGAAAAGAAGACAAGCCCAAAGTCATCTTTAAAATGAACTGCTCCAACTAAGAAAGACATTACACTGAACACAGTAGCCATCCTCTTGATCTTATTCTAAATAAACATCAAAAAGCTTTCAATCGCCAAAATATATTTTCACCTGTATTGATACATACAGAATATTGTGATTACAAATTTGATTAGGTTAACTTTGAAATCTTGAATGGGATCAGAACAAAGAAGATCAAAGAGATTTTAGAAATCAAAGAATATATTGAAATAGATCCAATTAATCAGCCTATCGAAAACAGCTCTAAGGCTCAGGATCATATCAAAGAGAAGGGTTACAAAAATAAATTTGAAAACACTAGAACAAGACAAGTATTGGCAATTATCAAATACATTTAATTTTGACAAGATAGGCTGTTAGTCATATGTCGAGTAATCCATAAAAAATTCACTTTTATCTGAAGTTTATGAGATTGAAAAGACTCAGAAAAAAACTAAGGACATTATTGAGAAGAATAAGATTTAATTAAAGATAAAATAATAATGGTGAATAAATAACTCCGCCTGTAGCTCTTCTAGAGTCACTGCCGGTCCCAAGCCCGGGTAAAGGAGGAGGGTTGGGCATGGGGTTAGCGACCCCATTAGCTAACTCGCTAAAAAAACGCTAACCAGAAAAAATAATTCAAACCATTTAAACTCTGCCCTGGCACTTGAAGGAATAATGACGTCTCATGATGAAAGCCGAAATTCTTCGGAAGTCACGAGACCGATGCACCTTCTAACAACCAGAGCATCACTCTTTATAGGTACATGGAACGTCCGGACAATGTGGGAGACAGGAAAGACCAGCCAAATAGCAATGGAAATGTGGAGATACAAATTGGCAGTACTCGGAATCAGCGAAACCCATTGAACACAAACTGGACAACAAAGGCTAGGTACAGGAGAGATGCTGCTGTACTCCGGTCACGAAGGGGAAAATGCTCCACACACTCAGGGAGTTGCTCTAATTCTGTCCAAAGAAGCACGAAATGCACTTGTGGGATGGGAATCTCATGGACCCAGGATAATCAAAGCATCATTCAGAACAAAGAAGCAAGGGGTCACAATGAACGTTATCCAATGTTATGCACCCACCAATGATAGCAACGACGATGATAAAGATCAGTTCTACGAAAGGCTGCAATCAATTATAGAGAAGTGCTCACGAAAGGACCTCACCATCCTGATGGGAGATCTAAATGCTAAAGTTGGAGTGGACAACACAGGATATGAAGATATAATCGGACGACACGGACTAGGAGAAAGAAATGAAAAAAAAGATGAGACTGAAGCTTAAGAAAGACTGGACAACTGGACAAACAGCACTACAAAGGTTTAATACAGCCTTCCTTCGAGATGCTGACAAGCTCCATGAATTCAAGATAACTCTCAACAACAGGTTCCAAGCTGTACAGGATCTACTGGAAGAACAAGAAACTACTTTAGAGGACAACTGGAAAGGGATCAAAGAAGCACTAACTTCAACGTGTCAGGAGGTTCTTGGTCCTAAGAAGCATCATCACAAGGAATGGATCTCTCTGGGAACCCTGGACAAAATTCAAGAAAGGAAGAACAAGAGACTAGCAATTAACAACAGCCGAACACGAGCAGAGAAAGTCAAAGCACAAGCAGACTACGCAGAAGCAAACAAGCAAGTGAAGAAAAGCTTTAAAGCCGACAAGCAGAAATACATGCGAGAACTAGCAACGACGGCGGAAAAAGCTGCAAGAGAAGGGAATATGAAACAATTATATGATACAACGAAGAAATTGGCAGGGAGATATAGCAAAAAAGAGAGACCAGTCAAGGACAAAGAAGGAAAGACAATCACTGAGATTCAAGAACAGAGGAAAAGATGGGCAGAATACTTCGAGGAACTGCTGAATAGACCAGCCCCATTGAATCCACCGAACATCGAAGCAGCCCACACTGACCTTCCAATAGATGTCACTCCACCAACGATCGAAGAAGTCAAGATGGCCATCAGACAAATCAAAAGTGGGAAGGCGGCAGGACCTGACAATATACCAGCAGAAGCACTGAAGTCAGATATTGAAATAACTGCAAATATGCTTCACCATCTATTCAAGAAGATTTGGGAAGAGGAACAAGTGCCAACGGACTGGAAAGAAGGATATCTCATCAAGATACCAAAGAAAGGAGATCTGAGCAAATGTGAGAACTACAGAGGTATCAGTTTGTTATCAGTACCAGGAAAAGTTTTCAACAGAGTGCTGCTGAATCGGATGAAAGACGCAGTAGACGCCGAACTAAGGGATCATCAGGCTGGATTCCGTAAGGATCGGTCGTGCACAGACCAGATTGCGACACTACGGATCATCGTTGAACAATCAGTTGAGTGGAACTCATCACTATACGTCAACTTTATTGACTATGAGAAGGCGTTTGACAGCGTGGACAGGAGAACATTATGGAAACTTCTTCGATACTATGGAGTTCCTGAAAAGATTGTCAACATTATCCAAAACTCATACGATGGATTACAGTGCAAAGTGGTGCATGGAGGACAGCTGACAGATGCATTTCCAGTAAGGACCGGAGTCAGACAAGGCTGTCTACTATCCCCATTTCTCTTCCTTCTAGTGATTGACTGGATTATGAAGAATTCGACATCTGAAGGGAAATACGGAATACAATGGACAGCTCAGAATCAATTAGATGATTTGGACTTCGCAGATGACCTAGCCTTCATATCTCATACACACGACCAAATGCAGATGAAGATAGCAAATGTAGCAGCAGCCTCCGCATCGATAGGTCTCCACATTCACAAAGGAAAAAGCAAGATTCTCAAATGCAACACGGAGAACACCAACCCAATCACACTTGATGGCGAAACTCTGGAAGAGGTGGAAACATTCACGTACCTGGGGAGCATCGTTGATAAACAAGGGGGATCGGATGCAGATGTAAAGGCGAGGATTGGCAAAGCAAGGGCAGCATTTCTACAATTGAAGAACATATGGAACTCAAAACAACTCTCAACCAATTTCAAGGTGAGAATCTTTAATACGAACGTCAAGGCAGTCCTACTGTATGGAGCTGAAACGTGGAGAACTACTACGACCATCGTCAGGAAGGTACAAGTATTTATAAACAGTTGTCTACGCAAAATACTCAACATCCACTGGGCGGATACTATCAGCAACAGCGTTTTATGGGAGAGGACAAATCAGCAGGTTCCAGCTGAAGAGGAAATTAGGAAAAGACGTTGGAAGTGGATCGGACATACATTAAGGAAATCACCAATGTGCATCACGACTCTATTCCTAACTTGGAATGGTGAAGGGAAGCGGAAAAGAGGAAGGCCAAAGAACACACTACGCCGGGAAATAGAAGCCGATATGAAAAGGCTGAATAGTAACTGGAAAGAACTGGAAAGGAAGGCTCAGAACAGAGTTGGATGGAGAATGCTGGTGAGCGGCCTATGCTCCTCCACAAGGGGTAACAGGCGAAGTAAGTAAGTAATGGTGACAAAATGAATGAGCTTTATTAGAGCACGTATTTTCCACCATAAGGTTAGCTATAACCACGTGGAACTAGACTCATTGTTCGATACTATTGATAAGGCCTAAAATATTCTGCCGAAACACGTATGGATAGATCCAATCTGTATTGCAGAAGCAGTAGCTATGAGCGATAAAAAGCCAGATCTGTGTATACATAAACAGTAGGTAAATTCTTCATATATTTTTATGGCTCTGGTTTCCCGTGTATTTCATTAATTTTCGCCTAGTTTTGTTTCTTTTCCCATCTTACTAGAATCATGTTGGCTAAGATTATCTAAATTGCTTATTCTCAACTCATTTACCCGGGTTGGGACCAGCAATAACGCTAAGAGAGCTACAGGCGGAGTTGGAGAGGAAATTAAAGAACGACACTGGAGGTGGTTGGGACACACATTATGGAAATCGAAGTACTGGAATTCGTCCAATGTAAGGTCGTGAGTACGTATTGCTGAATGATTTTAAAACTAAGCAGCGACCTAACGTTACTTAGTTTGTTAACTGAGAAAAAATTATCATTTTTTTAATTGTTTGCAGATTGTGAGCATTGATTAAAAGAATAGAAACAAAACCCTGAAAATCTGCAATCAGAGTCATGAAGCATTCAGCCGACTTTCAAGCTTTCATGATGATAGTCTGTAACCAGATGTTACCAAATATCATTAATAAGTATGATAAATATTTGTGAATACAAATCGATCCTAAACGCTAATGACTCCATAGTTATGCCACTTTCTTAGTGTACTTATGTTCATCTTACACGACTTGTTAAATAAAACCATGTGGTTATAAGACGGATAACCATCAAGAAAAGTATTCCGACGACAATACTGTAATCTAAAATAGTAACACATCTGATTAGGTGTTTTGTCTATATTATATGATTAATATTTTTAACAATGTTGTGATAAACGTCCATTCAAAATAAAATATGAATCATGTCTCTTTAAATAAGGTACCCTTATCTATATACAGGTTCCATTACTTACATGAATGACATGAGAAAACAACAACAATTTTTCCATCCAAACATTTTGTTCATAATTCACGCATAAATCTGGATAATAAATAAATGTTGCATTCAATAGTCCAGTTAAAGCTTGAGTTGACCAAATTGTAATTTGGCCTAGACCAGATGAACTTGAAAAGATGACAAGTGGTCCAGCAGTGATATGAATCAAATTTTGTAAGGCGGATTGACAATTGTTGGATCTTGAACTAGATTCAAATAAAGTAAAGTAAAATAAAGATGTATCAGTTACTATGATTCTGAATACGCATTACTTTACATAGTAAACAAGATATCACGTTGAAACAGTTCTGCTTAGTAAATGATAACTACTACCCAGTGAATATTGCATATCTCACGTAAGTATTGTTGAGAAATCAAACTGCTCTTATACAAATGACTCTTCAATGTTAAAGTGCAAAATTAATCAACTCGAAATAAACATGACCACATATATGTCAAATTCACGATAACTAGCTAAACTACTTAAAACATTAGGAATAGCAAAACTTGAAAATAAATATAAATATATTTAATAGTTGAGATCATGAGTTAATTGAAGCTAGATCACCATGGAAAACTGGGAAGCACTGTACGGCCGTTCCGTCCCAGCGTGAGACTCCTCAGTAGAACGAATCCACGATCCCGCCTCGCGAGATTCGAACTCAGGACCTACCAGTCTAGCGCGCGAGCGCTTAACCTCTAGACCACTGAGCCGGCCGGCATTCAACGGAGTTAATGTCTAACTTCAACAGATCCATGAAATTGAGGAAGACATCAACTATTGTCTTCAGTGAATGACTATCTCACACAACAAGTAAATATGATGCACCTACTGAAATTTAAAAGAAGAATGGTTCAGCGAAATGTTCTCTGTCCCATGAACGTAAATTCAAAACTGATAATTCAAAAGTAAATAATTTTTCTGAAATGATAAGCAATAGCATATCCGTCGAAAATACTCCTGCTATTAATATTTCTGACTGAACATAACCACAGAGAGGTAGAATAAAAAAACGCACGAAAACATTATTCGTATTAAGAAACTGAAAATACCGTTCTTAAAGGTTTGAATATTCGTCAAGAAAAAATATGTAGATTAATAGCTTAGTTAAATGGTCCTTTAATATGAGAAGATAAAGTGTTAAAGTTGGCATGAAATCTAATCACAAAGAGGGTGAAAACAGCAACAAGTCAGTGTTAGATAAAACGTTAATGGACAAGCAGATAAGAGAAGAGTAGTTGAAGGCGGAAAATGAGAGGTTAAAAACCATTGTATAAGAAGGGAATTGAAGAGATTTTGTTTGTATACATGGTACTAGCGTTTGTTAATGAATAGCAAATGTTTCATCAATGCTAAGAACATAAAGCACAATCTCTTTGTAAAAATACTATTAACTTCGCAGACGACTTTGAATTTCGAGTCTGTTCTAATTCAACAACACGTGTTCACAAAATATTTGATTACAGAATGAGATTATTGCTGAGAATCACATTCTTCACATACTGAAATCGATTGGAGAGAAACTGAAACTGAGTAGACACCGTATTGGATCCTCATGTTAATATGAGACTTCATGAAAGTGCATTTATTATGCAATCCAAAACCTCAAAGTTCCGCAGCAAACGCATTAGATCAGTGAGTAAGCGAACCTACGATGTGGCTCGATAATACACCAATACAATCCGCAAGCAACTCACTCCTTCACAGTTTCGATGTTGTTTTTTTTAACAAGGACAATAAGTCATAAAATCAAAATGATAATCATTATTTCGCTTTCAAAAAAAGAGTACCAGTCAAACTTATTCAGTTTAAAAACTCTAAAGACTATGAAGTCAGTACAAGCATTTTTGCTCTGTAATGAACAGCTCATAGAACTTCGAAATCCAAAACAGAAAGTAACGAACTTGAAGGGTATTTCACATTTTACTGTATGATACAACATTGGTGATCATTCTATATGATCAATGGATTAAGGTTGGGAATGGTGACCAATTCACTTCAATTCAAATGGTAGATATACATATACATGCTGTTTAGTTTTTCAATATCTTAAGCACACTTCTATTCTTCTTGAATAATAATACACTAGTCTTAGACCCCATAAATCATGATTTTAAAATGCTTTACTGAATGATTATGATAAACTTATTACTTTTCGTTCAGTTGAAATCTACATGAAGATCGTTTCAAGTGGAAGTTCATGTTCATCACAAATGAATATCTATCAAATAATTAAAATAACCCATCGTGTTATTGAATGTGTTCTTTGGCTTTCCTCTTTTCCGCTTCCCTTCACCATTCCAAGTTAGGAATAGAGTCGTGATGCACATTGGTGATTTCCTTAATGTATGTCCGATCCACTACCAACAACTTTCCCTAATTTCCTCTTCAGCTGGAAGCTGATTTGTCCTCTCCCATAAAACGCTGTTGCTGAAAGTATCCGGTCAATGAATGTTGAGTATTTTGCATAGACAACTGTTTATAAATACTTGTACCTTCCTGACGATGGCCGTAGTAGTTCTCCACGTTTCAGCTCCATACAGTAGGACTATCTTGACGTTCGTATTAAAGATTCTCACCTTGAAATTGGTTGAGAGTTGTTTTGAGTTCCATATGTTCTTCAATTGTAGAAATGCTGCCCTTGCTTTGCCAATCCTCGCCTTTACATCTGCAGCCGATCCTCCTTGTTTATCAACGATGCTTCCTAGGTAAGTAAATGTTTCCACCTCTTCCAGAGTTTCGCCATCCTCCTCTAGATAGATATTTATCATACTACTACAAATATGAATGTACAACTTTAGTAAATGATTTCCGCTTACTTTTATTATACATCTCCGCCTGTAGCTCCTCTGGGCGTTGCTGCCGGTCCCAAGTCCGGGTAAAGGAGGAGGGTTGGGCATGGGGTTAGCGACCCAATCCCGTAGAAAATCAACTCGCTAAAAAATCGCTAACCAGAAAAAAGACTGGATCATAAAGACGTCAACATCTGGAAGGAAGCCCGGGATACAGTGGACAGGCAGGATGCAACTTGACGATTTAGACTTCGCGGATGATCTGGCTCTTCTATCACAAACGCAACAACATATGCAGGAGAAAACGACCAGACCAGCAGCAGCAGGTCTCAATATAAACAAAGAGAAAAGCAAGACTCTCCGATACAATATAATATGCACAAATCAAATTACACTTGACGGAGAAGCTTTGCAGGATGTGGAAACCTTTACATATCTGGGCAGCATCATTGATGAACACGGTGGATCTGATGCAGATGTGAGGGCGCGGATCGGCAAAGCAAGAGCAGCATACTTACAACTGAAAAACATCTGGAGCTCAAAACAATTGTCAGCCAACACCAAGGTTAGAATTTTCAATACAAATGTCAAGACAGTTCTTCTGTATGGGGCGGAGACGTGGAGAACTACGAAAGCCATTATCCAGAAGATACAAGTGTTTATTAACAGTTGTCTAGGCAAGATACTTCGGATCCGTTGATCATACACTATCAGCAACAAGTCACTGTGGGAGACAACAAATGAGATTCCAGCGGAGGAAGAAATCAGGAGGAAGTGCTGGAAGTGGATAGGGCACAGTTTGAGGAAATCACCTAATTGCGTCACAAGACAAGACCTCACATGGAATCCTGAAGGTCCAAGGAGAAGAGGAAGACGAAAGAACACATTAAGCCGAGAAATGGGGACAGACATGAGAAGAATGAACAAAAACTGGATAGAACTAGAAAAGAAGGCCCAGGACAGAGTGGGTTGGAGAATACTGGTCGGCGGCCTATGCTCCATTGGGAGTAACAGGCGAAAGTAAGTTGATGGATTACTGAAAACCTTGAAGACTGAATAACCGTTTTATTCAAATGTGGAAAACCTACGATGATTAGTCGTACAATAATATATCCATATAAACAACGTTAATCTGATAATCAAGTCTGAAAAATCATGACTGGTAAATAAGTTTTTCTTTCTTCTTCTTTAAAAAAAAACAATTATCTTACTTATTGTTCATCATCATCTATTGAATAGGTTCTGTTTTGTTTTCCGTTTTTGCTTTCTTTGAATATTGCTACTCAACTATCTTAAAATGTAGGTGTACACTTGAATTACATAGATTCTTTACCCTATTCAATGTATTTTCGTAAACAGTAATCTTATAAACATTCAGTATTAATGAATTTTAACCAATAAATAAACAGAGTTATTACGTGTTTTCAAGTTATAATGAGGGAAAATTAAGTGAGAAAAACAAAATAAAAAGAACAAACAGTATAACAACTGACAGTGTTTTATACATTAGTTTCATTTATAGATATAGATATATATCCTCAACTATAACATAAGTGGTTGGTGGGTTTGCTTATACATGTCAATTACATAGATAACATCTATGTAATATCATTTAGTTACAAACTATTTAGATTATATCTATATTTATTTTTACAGAAAAAGATAAAGTTCATTAAATTAATGAAATCATATACAATATTTATCATATAATGGTTATCCAAAACAAGCCCTTACATGGAATTCTGAAGGTCAAAGGAGAAGAGGAAGACCAAAGAACACATTACGCTGGAAAAATGGAAACAGACATGAGAAGAATGAACAAAAGTCGTATAGGACCAGAAAGGAAGACCCAGAACAAAGTGGGTTGGAGAATGCTGTTCGTCGGCCTATGCTCCAATGGGAGCAACAGGAGTAAGTAAGTAAGTAACGGTGAATGGTTGCTCAATTTCGTGGACTGGTTGAAGTAAGATATTAACTACGTTGGATGACGGCCGGCTCAGTGGTCTAGAAGTTAAGTGATCGCGCGCGAGACTGAAAGGTCCAGGGTTCGAATCTCGCGAGGCGGGATCGTGGATTCGCACTGTTGAGGAGTTCCACTATAAAACGAAACGGCCGTCCAGTGCTTTCAAGTTTTCCATGGTGGTCTAGCTTCAATTGACTCATGATGTCATTATATAATAACATTATTGTCAAATCATCTCTGTTAATTTTATAAATGTAAATTGATAAGGATAAATTGTAATATAGAAAAATTTGTGGAGATTGTAGAGTTTTTACTGTTTAATTCACTAATTGAATTCAGACCAATATTGGTATAGAGGAAGTACTAAAAGGATATTTGATCCAAATATTGGACTAGTCAACAATTTGCATCTGTAACTGTACGCTTAACTTCTAGATCACAGAGCAGGCA